TGAATCAAATACTGACATATTTTGCTCTTTCATCAGAGACCAGCTGACAACCAGAAAAATCTTTAAGTTATCACAGATCCAAGGTTTACACTTCGTTTTTGCTCGAACCAACTATATAAAAAGCACAGTCTTAAAAGACTCAAGCAAGACAGGAGAATAAACTAAAAAGTCTCCCTGATCTCTCCTCCTCTCTTGCTTTAAATTGATACTAGTTTGGAGTATGTCCTTCTAAATATTCTTGCTTATTTATAGAAACAATGACTGTTCACTTGTTTTCTGCAAATTCAGATCATACGTACAGTTCTACCTGCTGCCTTTTCAACTTGTCAGAGTGTCCTGGAGATCTGTTTGTGTCGGCAGTTATCCCGGGGGCTGGCAGTCTGTGGTCTGTGGACTGAATTCAGCCCATGTCCATTGTGTGAATAGAGTTTCACAGAACACAGCCACGTTCACTTTCCAGGCCTCATCTTGGGCTGCCCCTACGTGTGCTCCAGGAGCAGAGTCAAGCTGCCCCAACAAAGACCTGCAAAAAGCCCAGGACCCCTTCTGCCAGCTCCTCTACAGAAAGAGCTCGCTGACCCTCAGTCTGGTCTTTGTAGTATCAGCTCCAAATTCCATCTAACCAATATACAATATTTTATTGATGGCTATTTATTTAGTTCCTTTAAGTTTCTCTGCGTTACATATAATGCTGCAATGAGCAGGTACCAAGATTTTTGAAGAGTTTTGAGAACTCTTCTCAAATAACGTGGTGTAAGCAACTTGAGAAACGCGCCTTTCATCTCATTATTCCTGCCTCTGAAAAGAAAGGACAACCATGTCATGTAGCCGAGGTGCTAAATATGGCTATGGGGCAAATATATTACAATATATAAGCACATCAGATGAGTGTGTTGCACACCTCACATTTACACAATGTTATGTACCAGAAATATTCGCCTGGGAAGAAAAAAAGGTCCCTGACACATACTGCCACTCAATAAATATTTCTCCACCAAGGGCTTCTGAATGGATCACAGTACCAAATACAGTGCTTGGCAGAGACAACTGGTCTTTGTGGAAGAATTTCAGTTAAGATGAGGAACGCAAGCACATAATTATTGACAGTTAAATGTCAAAAATAAAGCCAGTCTGCAGTCCTAAGAGTTTCTAGAACATTCACCCAGCTCTCCCTTTCCTAAAGCAGGGGACGGAGTGGAAGTCGTTTTCTTCCTTTGTAAACAGAAATCACAACTGTCCAGCAATGGTTCGGAACAGTGACATGTCTGAAAAATCTCCACGAAGATCCTTCCGGGGCTTTCTTTATTCCTGAAATGTTATTGTTATTTTTCAGATCGACCCCTTAGCTGTTCTGTTCTTTCATTAGAAATTCTATTTATTTCAACCTCTTAATAAGCCTCAACATTTCCCCGTTTGTGCCTTTGCTAACTTCCTCATGGCGGTTGACTTCCTTATGCGGTATCTGTGCATTTTCTTTTTTTAAAAAAATTTATTAGAGAGAGAGAGAGAAGTGTGGGTGCGAGTGCAGGGAAGGGTAGAGGGGGAGGGAGAGAGACAATCCCAAGCAGGCCCAGCGCAGAGTCTGACATGGGGCTTCATCCCATGACCCCAAGATCATGACCTGAGCTGAAACCAAGAGTCAGATGCTCAGATGACTGAGTCACCCAGGCGCCCATGCAGTTTAACTGAAAGCTCAGTTTCAGCTTTATAGGACCGATTTCCTCCCATGGGAACCTCCAGCCAGCCTGTCTTGTCAGTGTGACCCTGCAGGGCTGGTCTGTGTTTGTGTCAGCGGAGGCTCCTTAGTGTTTACCGTTCTCAGATTGGGATTTCATTCAACCGCTTGTGAAAACTTTAGTTTGGAGTATGGATGGTGTGAATTTGGACCCCAGGTTCACAGATAGTGCGGGATTCTCACTCAGAGTCCTGGGAGAAGGCAGGCACGTTTCCTTGCTGCTTCGGAAGGGCCAGGCGGTGGAGTTTTTCCAAGTCGTTCAGCATGGATGTTACAGTCTCTAAAGCTCTCCGTTTTATCCGGGGTCTGAGCTCCAGCTCCCGCTATGTGCCCTGGGGCCAGATATCCTGCTCCCTACTAGGAAGGCTCTTTAGTGCTCTGATTCTGAGTTTCTTCAGGGATTTTCCTTTCTGCAGGCTTGGCTATGTTTTTTTTTTTTTTTTTTTTTAATATATTGCACTGGATATTTCTACTTTATAGCAGAACATAAACTATGTTCAGTCTGCTTCACTGAAGTTCTCTGAGTATCAATTTCATACTGTCCAATCAAGAGACAGGAGGTCTTTCTGTTTTTCTCTGAGACCAGTGCTCCTCAAATGGAGAACAGGCACTTTGCAGGAGGGTTACACAAAAGGATTCTTTGGGATACGGGAGGAAGGTTTTACAGCTTCCATTTATATTGACTTTAAAGAGAAATAGAGTTGATGTAGACGATATATTGGTGCCTCACTCAGCCCCTATGTTGGGAAGCTTCACTTTACACATGCTAGAGGTTTCTAGAGGTGAGAGCACTCGAAAGGGGCTAGGACAGTGGCACCTGTCCTCATTCTCGTCCCTTCAGCATGCTGTGATGAATGGAAATGTATAGGGGCTCAATGCAGTGAGCTTATGGATTATATTAGTTCCAACTAGAAAAAAATGAGAAAGTAGCTTACAAATTCCTGCAAAGAAACCACTGACCTAAGACAGTATTATTAATAAGACTAATAACCAGCAAACAAAAAAATGGCAAATCTGAATTCTCCTATTCCTATAATAGTTTTCTTTTCTCTCTTCTTTCCTTCTTTCCTTTCTTCTTCTCCTCTCCTTCCTTCCTTTCTTTCCTGCCACCCCCCCCTTTCTGTATTGGGCCAGGGTTGGGGGAGGGAATCTTAAGCAGGTTCCACATCCAGCACAGAGGCCAATGCAGGGCTCCATCTCACAACCCTGAGGTTGTAACCTGAGCTGAAATCAAGAGTCAGATGCTGGGGCGCCTGGGTGGCTCAGTGGGTTAAAACCTCTGCCTTCGGCTCAGGTCATGGTCCCAGGGTCCTGGGATCAAGCCCCGCATCGGGCTCTCTGCTCGGCGGGGAGCCTGCTTCCTCCTCTCTCTCTGCCTGCCTCTCTGTCTACTTGTGATCGCTCTGTCAAATAAATAAATAAAATCTTTAAGGAAAAAAAAAAAAAAGAGTCAGATGCTTAACCGAATGAACCACCCAGGAGCCCCTAGAATGAGCTCTTTGTAAGTACAGGACAGGCCAAGCATGTAATTCTTGCATCAAATATACATGCCCTATGCAAGTAGCCTAACAATGTTTTAATGATACATGAACGTACTAAAAAGTGCTTGGTGATGACTATCCTAGGCAACCAAAGTTATTCTGGTACCAAGGAGCTGTGTCAAGTGGCTAAGAAACTAACCAGAGGACATTTGTGGGGTGTCCCAGGGAAGAGCCTCAGAGAACCTGGGCCCCAAAATAAATATGCAGGAGGTAGCAGACAGTTGTGGCCTCTGGTTTTCTAGAGGGCCCATAAAACTTAGCACTATGCTGCAACGCTCCATCTCTTAGTGAGTCGTGTAGGAAGGACATAAATGTGTGTGATATACACAAAGATCTCAATGAGAGCTCCTCCCACAAGGTGGTGGTTTTTTTTAATAGAACAGTACAACAAACTGTGCTAAAGACAACATTTGGGATATAATAGATCCACATAAGTCATCTTGAAAGAATGTGATCATAAAGCGAGTCATTCAGAAAGTCACGACAGCTGTGGCAGCGACAAGCTGGGCTGCGGACTAGCTTAACTGGGTGGAAACCATTTTTTGCAGTAGCTGAGAGCCTGCTCAAACAAGCTTTTAAAAACTTCAACTTCCAGTAAGTTAATCATTTTTGGTAACAAATCACTTTGGATACTCTGCACAAATGACTGAGAACAAGACAAGGTCACGATGTCCTGATCGTCTGAATCCGTCACTATTTTGTCTGAGGTGGGTATAGTGAGAACACGGTGCTAATCACCTTGGCCTCCGGGGTGACCAGGCTGGGCCTGGAGTGGGGCTGGATCTCCAGACTGTCCCTTCTGGCCACGGCAGCCTCACTGACCTACCTTGGTGTGCACTGCCAATATTACTTTCTCTCTATCCGATGACCGCGTTTTTGAGACACAGTGCCTTCGAGCAGGGTCTGTGGGCCAGATCCATCCCACAGCCTATTCTTACATGGCCCATACACTACTAATGGTTTTTATATCTTTAAATGGCTGGGTGGGGGGTAATAAAGATGACTACTTTGTGACACGAAAACCACATGCTTCCAGGTTCAGCACTGGTGAAGTCTTACCGGAACACAGCCGTGCTCACTGGTCTGCGTGCTGGCCAGGCCGCTTCTGCACAACAGCAGAGGTCAGCAGCGGCACAGGGACCGTCCAGCTCACAGAGTCTAAGATACGTGCTCATGGCCCTTGACAAAAAAAAAGCTAGCCATCTCCTGCGCAGTATCTTATCCAACCCAGGACCTGGGCTCAGTTCATAGACTTGGCTTTAAAGGTGGCTTGAAGGAGGTCAGCCACTGGTCAGCATGGGACATTTCGGCACATGCGCAAATGTCTTCTCTTGGCAGTCACCGTGACCTGACGCTGGGAAAGGGCTGAAGCATCAGCCAAAGTACCAGAATAAGAACTGAGCGCGTAGAACCTGACGAGGGACTGCTGTGTCGCTTTAGAGTTTGAGGCTGGGGGCTGTTTCGACACAGACACAGACTTCTGGGACAGACAGTGGCTTGGGGGCAACAGAACAGAATATAAGAAATTGGGGCTCTCTGTAAAAATGTACCGGCTGCATGTTCTACATTTGGAACTGATGACACACGGGATGTTTTAGACAGACATAACAGGCCGACTTCTCCACACACACCAGGAAGGGACACAGGTAGATGGACAGGAAACCCAGAATGAGCTTTCCCGAGCCCGGAGTGCCACACCTCGCAGGAAGACGGGTGCTGCTTACCTGCACACGTGTAGGCATCCTTGCTGGTGAAAGGCTTCACGCACTGGCTACAGCTGATCGGACCCACGACAGGGATGGAACTGAAAGTGTGCCCGTTGACCGTCTTCTTATCCTTCTCTTTCTCCTTCAGATCTTTCTCCTTCTCCTTGATCTTCTCTTTCTCTTTCTCCTTTTCCTGCCAAAGAACAGAACCAACAGTTAACAGAACACCAGAGGCCCTCCTCTCACCTGGGCATCCAGGTGCATGGGGTCACTGGTGTGTGATGGTGAATGCTTTGGAAGAAAGTTAAGAGCACTGTCCTGGACAATGGTTTTTCTAGGCTGTGAGCATTCCGGCTACACTGGAAACACTATGGGAAAATGCGTTCACACGATGGACACAACGTCCCAAGACCAGCTCTGCAGTGGCCTATGAGCCCTCCTCAGCAAGCCCAAGCGCAGCCCATGGAGGAAGCCAGCAACGAGCAGAGGGCCACCTGCAGGAAGGGGGCAGAAAGGACTGCAGCCATTCTCGGAGCAGCCTCGGGGAAGGAAGACGATGGGATGGCAGGAAGCCTTTCTCGGGGTTTCCTCTTGGACTTCATCTAGCCGGAAGTATTAACTGTCCCCGACATACACATATACCATTGTTGTCACCTAAAACAATTCCTGCAACACGGGCACCATGAAGTTCATGATCATAACAACTACTAAACGCCTTACACTTTGAGTCAACGCCTTCTAAGTACAAGACTGCCTCAGTCTCCATAACTCTGAAGTGTGCAGGGAGGGCATCACGCTTGTGCAATTGAGAAGATAAAGATGATAATTATCAACTACAATTCTGAACAGCTGTTATGTGCCAAGAATGACAGCAGGCGACTGACACATATTTTCTCCTAACAACCCAGTGAACTACTGGTTATTATCTCCACAGCACATTTGAGGAGACCAAGGCTCTGAGATGTTTAATACTGTGTCTGAGGCCACATGTCAGTAACAGCCCGTGCTGGAAAGAAGATCCAGATCTGGCTGACTCCACAGCTCTCTCATTCACGACACTCTACCGCCAGGGGCTGGCGAGGTGTGTTGACTCACAACGGGTCACACAGCAAGTGATTGGTAGTCAACATCATGACCCAGGCCTCCTGACATCCTAATTCAGAGCCCATCCACTGTACTGAACTGGCGAGTGCTGGTGAAGTCTGATTCATGCACAGTCCTTGGTTAGCAGAACACGTATAATAAAAATCTAAGAACCAAACTGCTACACTTTAGAACTGTAAAAATTAAGGAGAGAGAGAGAAAAAGTATTTCACTTTACATAACAGGAAACTGTTCTGAGTGACAATCAGTAACCACTAAAGTACATAATAGTCTAATAACAATCAATAACAAGTGGAATTTTTTCAAATAATTTCTCTCAACTAAATTTTGCTTCAGGCGTCTCTGCACATAAACATTAAACTGAAAAGCATCTGCCTCTTTTGCTTCAGAAAGCTAAAGCGTGCTCCAAGACTTGGAAAAAACCTTCTATGGCAACTAACATTCTCTCAAGCCTTCCAATGCTCATCAAACCCAAATAAATAATAAATAATACCCTCGTCCTTTGCAATTAGCCCAACTAGTTCTTCCAAGAATAAAAACAAAACAATAAACTCCCATCATTTCTTTCTCTGTTTATTAGAATTTAGTGCTGTAAAGAAGGCAGGCTCTTACCTCTCCATGTCCTATGAATTTCACTGTTATGAGGGGTACTTCAGGAACCCGACCCCATTTTATCGACATGACTCGACCCCCATGCCAGGAAATGTGCTCTCACAGAAGGAGGGGCTCATGCCGGCAGGGCAGAGCTCAGCAGCTTTGAGCTGCCATCAGAGAAACCGTAAGAGGAAGCCAGGGACTGGTTGAGAAAGGGAAGGAGGGAGGGCTGAGGCTGCTGGTTTCCTTAAGACAGGCTTAACTATTTGCATGCTGCCAGCAAAGCCAACTACCCTAGTTACAGAGGACACGGGAAATGAAACAAAACGAATTCCCAAAACACAGTGTGTGTCTGGACGGTGCTCTGGCTGCAAGACGGGACACTCTGGGAGGACCGAGGCCAATTTCTGACACTTAGAAGTTAAGGAACACATCTACTTCGGAAGGCTTCTCATTACATCGAATCATAACGTGTGCTTCCCAAGAACAGTGTGCGGTGAAGCTGGTGGTAGATTTCGCCTGCGGTCAAGTGATGACCAGCTTGTTTTCTCAATTGTGACTTTTCCACATTCAACAACATGAGGAAGTAGGGGCTGCTGGTATTTCAGGGACGGCTGCGGGAAATAACTATACCGGGGTACTAAGAAGGAAAATGAGTTCTCGCTTTCCCCCACCTACCATCTTTGACAAACGGTTACAATGAGAAGACCAGAGTGCGCTTCTGACAACTGTGAAGCAAGCTGTCGTGAAGTCACCCTCATGCTGCAGATCTCTGATCGGAGAAGGAACCAGAGAACCAGATTTCACACAGACTTCAGCCTTTGCAAACACTCTCTAGCGGGCACCTCTGTTAGGCTCATGGGTTTACTTTTCCCCTAGGGAGCACAGGCCCAAGAAAGCAGAGCCGGACTGCAGCAGCTCTGCAGGAATGCAGCCTGTGCCCCCAAAACGCCCACTTCAAGTCAGAGTAAGAATGTCTATAGAACGTCTCTGCCCATCTCCTAGTTGTCTGTGAGGAGGAAAGCTCGAAGAAGAACATCGGTGTAACAGGGTGGTCTGAAGGGGCTCACTCCACTCCCTTTGTGAATGGGATCACCGTGCACATCAGCGTTTCAGTACTCTGTAGCAAGCAAACGTACTGAACAGGAAATGGTACTATCAGAAGACACTAACTAAAAGACAAAAGCAGAACCTGCCAGTCTTCCTGTTAGACTTCCTGTTTGGGCTTTACCCCTTTGGGAAAAAACACCGAATGCATTTAATTACCCATGCCAGATACTGCTAATTTTTAAAAGCACATATGAAGGATCAGTACTCAACTTCTCCAATCCTATATCCATCTATCTACCTACCTATCTAGATATATGTATCTATCTCAGTACTACAGGCAAAACATGAATAATTTTTTTGGCTCCTTTTGTCTCCTTACCATCTTACTTAAGAATTGCGACACATAGATTAACTTTTAATTTTAAGCACATATAATAGATTAACATAATAATTAAGAGACTCTAAAGGCAACAAGTATCAACTATTTACATGAACACATACATCATGCTTAATTACAAGGAAAGCAAAATTTTCCAAACCATTCGTAGAAACTTTACTAAGAATTTATAGGTGGCAATTTAATATATCTTCAGTAAATGCTTACATTTTTCCTTTAAAAGAAGAAGGAACGATTACATTGTACAAATAGGTTAATAAAAGGAGATCAGATGATCTCTAATAGCAGGTCTTTTAAAAATAATTTAAAATTAGTAGAATTCTACCATTTTCATTAAAAAAACTAGCGTTAATGTCTACAGTAGCACTTTCAGTTGTTTTAACATTATGGAGAAAGAACACTCTACAGGAAAAACTGAGTCAGCATCCTCACACTAAGAAAATACTCATTTATTTTTGTCATCATTTAGAGAATAAAACAGTTCTGTGCGGTAAAGCTCTACCACAGGCACTATGGCATATAAAGTCAGAGTATTTAATGTAACTTGGCACTATTTCCCCTAATTTCTTCTATCTTTTGGTACATTCACAAATGTGAGCTCTTCTACATGAAAGGAGAGTCTCAACCTTCTTGATGTGTTTGGCCAGTGGGGCATTTTCCTGAACACCTGATAATGTGAAGTAAGGATTGCCATCCAGGTTACAGATTTCTAATTTTTTTTTTTAATTTATTTATTTGAAAGAGAGAGAGAGTGCACAAGCAGGGAGTGTTGGGGGGCAGAGGGAGAGGGAGAAGCAGACCCCCACTGAGCCCGGAGCCCAACACAGGGCTCCATCCCAGGACCCTGAGGTCATGACTTGAACCGGAGGCAGCTGCTTAACACTGAGCCACCCAGGTTTGTAATTTTTTTAAATAAATAATTTGTATTTTTTTCAAGATTTTATTTATTTATTTGACAGACAGAGATCACAAGTAGGCAGAGAGGCAGGCAGAGAGAGAGGGGGAAGCAGGCTCCCTGCTGAGCAGAGAAGCCGATTCGGGGCTCGATCCTAGGACCTGAGCCGAAGGCAGAGGCTTTTTAACCCACTGAGCCACCCAGGTGCCCCCAGATTTGTAATTTCTTGAGAGTTTCCACTGCCAGAGATAGCACGCGCCCCCAAAGACCAATTGTTGAAGCCACATGTGAAAGAGGAACCAGTTTCGTTGCAAAACTGTGCTGTCGTTTTGACAAAGGAGATGCTCGGACACAAAGGTCAACTGATACAGACGGCTGGGGCTGACGGACTCTGCTCTAACAATTTCCTTCTTCCCTCCTGCCTTTTTCTCACTCCCTACTAGTAAGCTCCAGTCCTTTGAGTTATTGAAAAAGTTATAAAGACCTGTTTAGTAATAGTTAGATTCTGTTTGAGTGAGCATGAAATGAAGTGTGCTAATTGCTAGAAGTCAGCCCACAAAGAGGTTATTTAGTTAATATTACCTAGTTCTGTGGCCTAAAGCTAGTTCTCTGGGCTTCGGTTTGTAAATAAGGAGGATGAGACTTTTTTTTAAAGGTCAGGTTCCAGTTTCTAAATTTGATCTTACATGGTTTTGTCTATGCCTGTTTGTATTCCCTTATTAACGTGACCTGTGGTGGAGTCACTGCCCTGCACTGGAAATTAACGTCACTGGGGAGATGCACAGAAAGGGAACTCTCCACTTATTTATTTACCGGTCTTCCAATTGAAGATCCCACATTTTAAAAACAGAACAACAAAAACACCAGACATATGTGAAAATGTCCAAATAGATCATAAAATTTCTCAAAAGTAAAGATGAAGATCTTTAGTTCTTTCGGAGCACCTGGCAGAATGCTAAGACCATCTACAGAAGTCCTGTGATAACAGCCGGCTAATTTATACTGGTCTTCGCAAGGAGGTTTTCTTTTGTTCACGCCAACCAGTGTCCAAGCCAGCAGTGGTAAGTCAAACACATATGGCTCTTATTTTAAGCCTTGCTGCCAGTCTGTGGAACACTGATGAACATTCTGCCCTCTTTAACCTGGATTTTTTAAATGATAAAACAAGGATATGTCTGAAGTTAATACTTGTATATATGATTATTCTAGAAACAATTTGCTAGACTCCTTGCATTTTTTCCTGTTTTCCTCCTGATTGGCCCACCTTCTTCTCCTTCTGTACCTGGGCAGGAATGAAAGCACAATTCTGGTGGCAGGTTTTGTGGAAAAATTCCTATGAGGCCTGAACCTAGCATTTACTAAAAGAAAGAGGTCTTATTTTACAAAATCTTGTAAAATGCATTGGCTCTACTTCTACCAACCCACTTAATGAAGGGCTTAGAAAGCTTGTTGTATTTTGTTGGGGGGGGGGGGTGTAGTTTTACCATAATACGCTTGAGTTCAGTGTTTGTTCATTCTCTTACTTCTATGTATGTACATACCATGCACACGTATACACGCATATATATAGTGATGCCCTGGCAAGAGCTCTTTTGCTGATTTCCATGTAAAAGCTTTTTTTTTTTTTTTTTTTAATTTATTTTGCTGGAGTCTGGGTGGGTGGGTGAATGGAGTACAGGGGAAGTGGGAGACAGAAAAAGTTTTTTCCCACTGATCTGACACTAAATTGGTTTTGGTTTTGCACTGGGAATCAGTGTAAGAAAAGTAACTTCTTGTCTTCCTTTTTTAAAAAAATACATTGAAAAAAATTAGAAGAGTAGCTATCTCTATGTGGGATTATTACAGGTGGTTTTTATCTCATTTTTATATTTTAAATATTCCTATAAGTATGACAAAAATAGACAAAAAATGCTGAGGTACTTTAACATAACCTCACTAAGGAGCGTTCACTGCCACGTGCGGATCCAGTTGGGACTAGACCTAGGAACCCACTTTCGTCTTTAAAGTTCTTGTAATTCTCTGTGGGACACTCTAACCTCTAAAACAAACATAATATTTATATTTATAAATATTACTTATAGATTTATTTTTATACTATATTTATATTATAATATATATTTTATAAATATTTATATCTGATAAATATTTAAATATATTTAAAAAATCCCCTGATCTTGGCATCAAATCCTCCAGGTACATTTTATCTTATTTATTTATTTTTAAAGATTTTATTTATTCATTTCTTTATTTGAGAGCAAGCAAGCAAGCGAGCACACACGAGGTGGGGGTGGGGAGGAGAGGGAGAGAGGCCAACAGACTCCATGCTGTACGGAGCCCGATCTCGCAACCTCAAGATCATGACCTGAGGTGAAATCAAGAGTCAGAGGCTTAGCCAACTGAGCCACCCAGGCGCTGCTCCCCGCTTTCAGGTACGTTTTAAACCTGGTTTACCGATTAGAGCATGTGCTTGAGATCTGAAGCCACCGCTGGGGGCACAAACCCTAATACAGCAGGTCACTCCCAGAACAGGGAGATAACCTCTGCCTTATGTGGTTGTGGAAAGCATGATATAAAATAACATATGGAAGACTCTTAGCATACCGTAAAAACCCAATTAGTGATACTACCTTTTGTTACTATCTTTCTTGCTGTTATATTTCTTCAAATATTAGGCTATTTCAAAGATACTCTCTGGGTTTATTTCCTCATGTCCCCATAATTTCATTGCTTTCTGGGTGTATGTAGGCTGTGACAGGAGCCCACAGGTGAGCGACTATGGCGGCCACACAAGGAAGCCCCCCAACGGTACTTACTCTGCTCTTCTTACTGCTGGACATTTTATTCTTGATGTAGCTGAATGTGCGACTGACTTTTGTTCCACTCTTCCCTTCAAAATCTTTCTTGGAGGGGCTTTGTGGCAGGAAACTATAGGTCTCTTCTGTTATGCTAAATAAAAACAAGGAAATTGATTTAAAAAAAAAAAAGACTACAGAATTTTAAAAAATTAAATACAGATTTAAAAAATACATTTCTCTGTAGCCATGTATCATTTTAGCTTCAAGTCAGAGTCAACTTATATATACACACATGCGAACGGGAAACAGAGCGAGAGGGGGACAGAGGCTGCTGAGCGGTTCCAGCCCGTTGGAGCCGAGGGCAGAGCGCACCACAATGCCCACGTTCTGGTGCCAAAACCTGGCTCCATTTTCTTGTACCAGCCACTAAGGTTTTAGTAATAGATTTTCAGTGACCTGGTATGAAGCACAGCCTACCTGTCAATTACTCATTTATTATTTCATCTGAAACTTCTTAGTCTAAAATAGCACTCAATTTACAAACACCTTTGCATCAAACAGGTGCTTGAGAAGAAACTCGTAAGTACAATAATGGAATGATGGATACGTTAATAAAAGTTGCAGACAAAGGAAGTTTTAGGACTGAATGCATACTCAGGTTCCCTAAAAGCAAAAATCACGTACTTTTTTCGTCTTATGGCCCACTGGACAATCAATACTGATGCATACCAGTATGGGGTTTGCACAATTTTTGGAGGGAAGAGAGTGTAGAAAGACCCATTTTAGGAGTTCCATACAGATGCAGATGTACTACTGATCTCCCCGCACTTGGGAAGGCTGCAAAGAATCTATCTGTGATGGACACATTTGAACCTTAGGAAATTCACGGCAGTTGATCTCCTCCAAGAATGCTGGGCACGTGTATACACAATCCATTACACGGGAAAGGAATCCATTTACACGACTTTTCTTAGGTGTTCCACAAACGTTATTTTAAGAACTTTTCCGCAGAAAAGCTGGGTTTACCTCAAGGGTCTCTGAGAGAGGACAGAGGCACACTTCAAGAGGGGCAACAATCCTCTTCAACGGCCAAGGTCTGTTTATGTGTAAAGTACCGTTTACAGAACAAAGCAGCCTCTTACATTACGGTAAGGGGGAAACGGTGTGAGAACCTGCTCCGGAGGACAAAGGATGAATAAACTATGATAGAAATGAAAGAGAAGCATTCATCCCAAGAGCCACAGCTTACGCCTCTGTGAAAAGGAGAGCAGGTTCAAGTGCAGGGCAATAACCAGAAGCCCCACTATGCGCACATCAGAATCCTTCAGAACCCCCTAAGCATGACAAGAGGAATATAAAAGTAATCAGTGAGTCAAAATACTAATCTTCTGCCTGCCATGAAGCAAAGAACCGATTCACCTGGAAAGAACTGTGTACCATATCCGTGAAGGCAGAAGAAAATGACTTTTTGGGAAAAAATAAAAAGCTTAAAATGGCTAAGGCAGCAATACTGCACAGGTGAGAGTGTGCACGCACATGCATGTACACACACACATGCACGTGCACGCACACACACAATGCAAGAAAATGTCGCCAGGCTTAGGGAGGAACAATTCCTATAAGCAGAGTATAAAAGTTCAGAGTCCAATACAAGTACGTGAGTGTGCGCTCACACTCAAGGAAGGAAGAATCCCAAGAGTTGAATTCACTTCTTGGTCGGCTTAGTTAAATGTCCTAAGACACTTTGGGTTTCCTTCACTTTGTCTTGGGGAAAGGAGTAACAAAATAAACGTGTGTTACCTCTCAGTCAGGTTGGCGCTGGTACCGTGGAAAGACCGTGAATCTGGAAAACAGAAACGGGAGAGAGAATGTTGGAACCAAAAGACTGTGCCTGGGTGACGGAGCAGATGTTTAGAACGTTTATGAGGACACGCAGAGCAGACACAGCATCTGAGAGCCGGTGCACGGGGCCTTCTCCGCGCAAGGGTTTGGAAGAAGGAAAAATTCAACTCAGATCCCTCAATATCGGAACTAGAAGCAGGAGGGCCACAGGAGCCAACTCTCCACAACAAACAATTTAATCCAGGAGTCAAGCTAGTAGTGAACAAACCCCAAAACATTTTTTTCCCTCATGTTCAAACACACATGAGACAGGTTGAGTTCCTGCTCTTGTCAATGCTCCATTTCCACAGGCCATTTTTCTGAGATGACATCACAGGAAGAACATAAAATCGAAAATTATACATCGTATTCCATTCATTTTGCTTTCCTAGGTTTCCAAACCAAAAAATCTAGCTAATGTATATCTGATATTTTGGTGAGCATTCCTGGAAGGAAATGGAGTCGTGGACAGGAAAAGAGCAGAAGAGCTGGCTTATAAGGTCTTGGTCTTGTCACTCATTTGGGGTGAGATCTCTGGATTTCATTTCCTCATCTGTGAGACGAGGGACACGCAACGCATGGTAAGGTCCTTGCCAGGCTGACGCTGACAATTGATAGGGCAGACGCATCCTTCCTCCTTCCACGACGACCAGACCGTGAAGTGAAGCAGGTCATCACAGCTGAGGCTAGTCGGACAAAGGGGCAGTAAGTGGCGCCAACAGAAAGAACACTACGTTCTTTTATCCAAGACACGCGCATTAAGCTTGAGCTACTCTGGGACTAGGTGAGAAGGTCTCAATCACACACTGACAATTGGTTTCCAATTTTTAGGAGATCAGGTTAGAAATAATTTCTGTGTGTAATTCCTGGTAGGCCAAGTCTGTTCACAAGTAGCACAGCTGTTATAACGTGAACAGAACACACACTTCTTCCTGCAGGGGGGTTTCAAGCACCTGAGATTACTGTGAGTAAAATTTTAATCTGATAGAGATTTGAAGATGTTCCGTGACCACCATTTATAACTCCTAAGTGTCAACCTGCTCTAGATTCTGAGTAGAAACGCAAAATGGCAGTAAACAGCAACAAGTGGGAGTAATGCCTAAGAAACTTAAAAATCAATTCTAAGTTTTCAAAAGACTGCTCTCTGGGGTCTTTCCTTTTGCCTATTAGGATTCTTTTTCTATTTCACTTACAATGCATGGCAGTAACAGCCAGTTGCGAAAGGTGAACAGAGTTAAGATCTGGGATCTGTCCCCGAGTTTCTGCACGATCTAGGTGTGAAACTGTCAGATGTTTACCCTCAGATGCCTTAATTTACTTAAAAACCAAGAGTGTGCAGGGTGCCTGAGTGGCTCAAGCAGTTAAGCATCTGCCTTTGACTCAGGTCATGATCCCAGGGTCCTGAGATCGAGCCCCATGTTGGGCTCCTTACTCAGTGGGGAGCCTGCTTCTCCCTCTCCCTCTGCCTGCTGCTCCCCCTGCTTGTGCTCTGTCAAATAAATAAATAAAATGTTAAAAAAACAAACAAACACTCAAGAGTGTGGTTTAGATCAGTGGCTTTAAAACGTTTTCCACCCAAGGAACCTTGAATGGTAGAAGCAGCATTAAATTCTCTCACACGGCCAGGACTCTGCCGTACACTAAAGCAATCACCTGGAAAGTCACCACTGTAGTAATAGGAACAAGTAAAAGTAAAATCCACAATGAGGAAAAATACCAACCAGCAAAGAGCCTGGCCAAGAGTAAGATCCCAGCAGATTTCTGTCAAATAAATTAAAAACTGAACAAATACGTGATTGAGTCCTGGGACAATCTTTGACTCTTACAAGGATTTCCAACCTTTCACAGCTGAAAAAATTTTAATTCATTTGCTGTGACCTCTTAGATGTGGTTCTGAAAACAGTGATTAATCCACCAATACCTCTGAGATCCCTAAAGTGTCATTAAGTTTTCAGAGCACCTAAGAGGATGACATAACCAACAGTACTTCTACGGTAGAACTACAGACAGGAGCGGGGGGGGGTCTGTCACTGATGTTGGCGTGAAGCATTATGGCAGGTCAACAGTGTATTTCAACCAGCTTTTTCTTTCTTTCTTTTTTTTTTTTTTAAAGATTTTATTCATTTATTTGACAGAGATCACAAGTAGGCAGAGAGGCAGGCAGAAAGAGAGAGGAGGAAGCAGGCTCCCCGCCGAGCAGAGAGTCTGACGTGGGGCTCAATCCCAGAATCCCAGGATCATGACCTGAGCTGAAGGCAGAGGCTTTAACCCACTGAGCCACCCAGGAGCCCCTCAACCAGCTTTTTCTTAAAGTCCCGAAGTGACCTGCAAACCTAATACATGGTAACATTCCAGGGTGAGAACTACTAGATGGACGCAGTCAATATTTTCAAAGTGTGCCCCACAGAACACTAGTCTTGTTAGGTGTTGTGCACAGTCAGGCACCCCTTGTGGTTACCAAGCTAGGAAGTTTGGAAAACACAGCTCGTTGAACACTGCCTTGGAGATTCACAATGTGCACATTAACATCTGAAACCAGCTTACCTGGTTTCCTAAATTTATGTGCCCATGAACCAATCCTTTCTTTTTCTTCCTCTCCCCTCCACCTCCCTAATGCCCACTGGTATTTTTGAGTTTAACGAACATGTTTTGAGGAATGCTAGATGCTTGATTGATTCAAAGGGTTCTTCAGGCTTCCATACTTTTGATTCCATCACGTTGGGTTAACTGTATACCCAGTGCCGTTTTATATTAACAACGGTGTATGGGGCGCCTGGGTGGCTCAGTCACTAAGCGTCTGCCTTCGGCTCAGGTCGTGATCCCAGGGTCCTGGGATCGAGGCCCACGTTGGGTTCCTTGCTCGGTGGGAGACCTGCTTCTCCCTCTCCTACTCCCCCTGCTTGCGTTCCCTCTCTGTGTCTCTGTCAAATAAATAAAATCTTAAAATTTTTTTTTGTACTAGTGGTAGAAGAAATGCCACTGGGACCTTTGTTTTAGGACCTATTTCCTGGGCTATCACAAATACTTTGAGCTGAAACAGGCTTGAGAATTTCTGAACGCTCCAAGTTGTAAGTGGGTTCTCACAACTTCCCTCCTATCACAACCGGTATAAAGTAAAGATCTCACGGTGTGCCTATTTTACCAAACATCTTTCAATTGGGAAGAAAGGACTGAGTACAGTAAGACCTCCAGTTAAGAGAAACTAAACTTCGTTACTATACGTAAGGTGCTCTTCTGTAAGAACAATGCAGAGAGGTCACTCTGAGCTTAATATTGCTTAATTATAAAATTTTAATATTTAAATAAACAGACACCTTCCGTATTTACTGCTGAAATGTAGGGCCAGCAATGGTAGGAATGAGGGTGTCCAATTATATGAATATTGTAATTCCCTGAGACTCTTATTAGTTATATAAAATGAAAACAACTCAGGGTTGAGCCTGGGTGGCTCAGTGGGGTAAAGCCTCTGCCTTCGGCTCAGGTCATGATCTCAGGGTCCTGGGATCGAGCCCCGCATCAGGCTCTCTGCTCAGCAGGGAGCCTGCTTCCCTCTCTCTCTCTCTGCCTGCTTCTCTGCCTGCTTGTGATCTCTGTCAAATAAATAAATTAAATCTTAAAAAAAAAGAAAAAGAAAATAATTCATTATTTACCTTTACTATAGAAGTATTTTTTCCATTAAAAATAGCAATCCTGAAAAATTCAAGAAATCTTGCATAATCGGAAACAGCGATTTTCATGGAAAAGGGAGAGAATTCATTTCCTTTCCAAACTTACTAAAACTGATACCTTATAAAGTTTTTAAACTAGGCATTATCAGTGAAGAATATATTAATCTGAAATCACACTGTAGTAAAAGGATTGAAAAACAAAAGTTCCGAAGGAGAGAAGGAAGGAAGGAAATCATCTATAATTCCCACCTCCTAACTCATGGGGGTGTGGCCTCAAAGGAAAGGTCTTTCTTTTCTTTCTTTTTCTCTTTCTTTTCTTTTCTTTCTTTCTCTCTCTCTCTCTCTCTCTCTCTCTCTCTCTCTCTTTCTTTCTTTCTTTCCTTTCTTTTTTAAAGCAATCTCTATCCCACCGTGGGGCTCGAACTCACAACCCTGAGATCAAAACTCACATGCTCTAGCCAGTGAGGTGTCCCAAGGGAAAGGTATTTTTAAAGACATGTCTGAAAGCTGAGAAGGAAAAAGTTTAACATTAGTTTTAAACACCACAGGTGGCTATCAGATGTCCCATAAGTCAAAAAAAGCAAAACAAGGGAAAATGAAATTTACGTTATGCAACAGAGAGCTCCGTGAAGTTAGTGCTCATACCCACGGGTCCGAGGTGGGACAGGAACGCGTCCCCGTGCCCTGCAGTCAGGCCGCCAGGCCAACCGGCGCAGGTGGTGCACAGAAGACCACAGTGTTTCAGCCGGGTTAACTTTCGAAGCGAAGCATGAGGTCAAGTGATTTAGAAACGGCAGCGTGCAAGGGTTAGAGTCTCCGGACGATTTCTCAGCTAAGCTGGCAGCATTCTCAGCACGGGCCAGAGCCTGAGAACAGCCACCGACACCGAAGCCGCTTACTTACTAGGCAACGCCTCCTCCTCGTCACTCGAGTAAGAAGAGCCAGGAGAGAAAAGGGTTTTAGACTTAAGGAGGTGTGGAGAGATGCGGACGGAGAAGGACACCCGCCTTGCTGGCTGCATCCGAGGCTGGGCTGGGAAGTGGGTTCACAGAAGACGTTAGCGCACGCAGACTGTTCCCGAACAACGACCAAGGCACCTCACACCAGGCTGAACAGAATCATGTCCTGAGCCCGTCTGGTTCCAGGAAAGGCCGTCTAGGCCAACAACGTATCTAATTTTCCTCTTAATTTCTGAATATGGAGGGTTCCAATACAGCCTAAAAACTTCACCCGACAGACACCTACTTGTTAGAATAAGGAAACCAAAGTCCATTACTTTTAATGGTCATAATTTATAGCTGGAGTTTTCTCCTTCAGCGTGAAAACATCTGGAGCAGCAGTGTTTCTCACATTCGGTGCTAGTCTCCCTCACTCCAAACCTCCTCACTCACTGTCCTCCCCAAAGTGCAAGGTGCACTCCACAGACTGGCGATGCACACCTGTCCACCCTTCCCCCAGGGCTCTCCTTTGGGCTCAAGCCACAGTCACCTCCCTGCTCCCCTCTGGGGATGCCCACTGGCAGCGCAAACTGAGCCAGCGTGGAAGTGGGCTCTTCTTTTCCTCCACACCTGCTCCTCCTCCCGCACGCCTTCGTTTGCAAAGGGGTACCTCACACCTAAAGAACTATTCGGAACAGAAACCCGGCACCGCCCTTGAAGGCTTCTGTCCCACTTCGCTCAGTCCTTTTGATCCTGTATCCTTGCCCCTCCGCTCCCCAGCGCTGATGTCAGTGTGGTCTCTCTGAAGGGTCTGCGTCAATCCACTCCGTCACCTGAAATCCCCCCACTGCCCTCCAACAAGAACCCCAAGTCCCCCTGTCTTGCTCTCCACATCCAGGCGTGCCTCACTTTACAGCACTTCCTTCGCAGACATCGCTATTTTTACAAACTGAAGGTCTGTGGTGACCCAGTGTCAAACAAGCCTATCAACGCCATTCTGCTAACAGCACTTGCTCCTCTGTGTCCATAAGCAGTCTTGATAATTCTTGCACTATTTCAAACTTTTCAACGACCAGCCATTACCCACTGCCCCCCCCCAGGCCTCCCCAATTCCTAGACACAATATTGAAAGTAGGCCAATTAATAACTCTACAAAGGCCTCTGAGTATTCAAGTGAAAGGAAGAATCACATGACTCTCACTTTAAATCAAAAACTAGATATAATTAAGCGCGGCGACTAAGGCCCGTGGAAGCGGAGGCAGGCTGAGCTAAGGCATGTGGAAGCTAGGCCTCTTGTGTCAAACAGCCAAGTTGTAAAGGCAAAGGAAAAGTTCTTGAAGGAAATTCAAAGAGCTACTCTGCTGAACACATGAATGATAAAGAAAGGCAAACAGATTTATTGCTGATATGGAGAAAGTTCTAGTGGTTTGGATCATAGATCAAGCCAGTCACAACATTCCCTTAGGCCAAAGCCTAATCCAGAGCAAGGCCCTCCCCCTCTCTAATTCTGTGAAGGCTCAGGGAGGAGATGAAACTGCAGAAGAAAATTCTGAAGCTAGCAGAGCTTGGTTCAGGAGGCTTAAGGAAGGCAGCCAGCCCCAGAGCACCAGACTCCAAAGTGAAGCGGCAAGGGCTGAGGGAGAAGCTGCAGCGAGCTCATTCAGGAAGGGGGCTCCACTAAACCATGGATTTGCAGTGTGGACAAAGCAGCCTTATCGTGGAAGAAGATGCCACCTAGGACTTTCATAGCTGGAGAGAAGTCAGCGCTTGGCTTCAAAGCTTCAAAGGACAGGCTAATGGAGATGCTGACTTAAAGTTGAAGCCAGTGCTCATTGACCCTTCCAAAAACCCTGGGGTCCTTAAGAATGATGCAAGATCTACTCTGCCTGTGTTCTGTCAGTGGAACGACAAAGCCTACGCAACAGCACATCCACTCACAACATGCTTTACTGAGCATCGTAAGCCCATTCTTGAGATCCACTGCTCCATAAAAAAGACACTTTCAAAACAGTACTGATCACTGACAATGCACCTGGTCACCCGAGACCTCTGACGGAGATCGACAAGGAGACTCGTGTTGTTTTTATAACATCCTGCTGACACAACACCCTTTCTGCAGCCCAGGGATCCAGGAGTCATTTTGACTTTTAAGTCTTATTGTTTTAAGAAATACATTTTGTAAGACTATAGCTGCCACAGACAAGGATTTCCTCTTGTGGATCTGGACAAAGTAAATTGAAAAACCTTCTAGAAAGGATTCACCATTCTGGATGTTAGTAAGAACATTCGTGATTCGTGGGAAGAGGTCAGCATATCACCATGAATGGGAGTTTGAAAGAAGCTGATTCCAGCCCTCATGGAGGACTTCGAGGGGTTCATGAAGTCCCTGCAGATGTGGCGGAAACAGCGAGAAAACTAGGATTGGAAGTGGAGCCTGCAGATGGGACTGCACTGTTGTGATCTCGAAATCAGACTTCCGCAGATGAGGAGTTGTTTCTTATGCATGAGCAACAAAAATGGATTTTGAGATGGAATCTACTCCTGGAGAAGATGCTGTGAAGATTACTGGAACGACAACAAAGCATTTAGAATATCCCACTAACTTAACTGATATAACAGCAGGAGGTTTTGAGAGGACAGCCTTCAATTTTGAAAGACGTTCTACTGTGGGTAAGATGCTACCAGACAGCATCGCAGGATAGAGAAATCGTTCATGATAGGAAGAATCCAGCTCTGTGGCAAACTTGACCGCTGTCCTGTTTTGAGAAATTGCCACAGCCATCCCAACCTTCAGCAGCTACCAACGTGGAGGCAAGACCCTCTACCAGCAAAAAGACTACAACGCACCGAAAGCTCAGGTGATGGTAGTATATTTTTAGAAATAAGGTATTTTTTAAATTTAGGCATGTGCACTGTTTTTTTAGACATGTTACTGCACACGTGACTACAGCACAGTGTAAACAGAACTTCTATATGCACTGGAAAGCCTAGGAATTCATCTGACTTGCTTTACTGTGATACCTGCCTCACCGCGGTGGTCTGGAATGGAACCACGATACCTCTGCAGGACGCGTGCCACTAACTCACCGACTGAATTCCCCTTCTCCCATTGGTCTCAACTTTGAGATTACTTCTCCCCAGTAAGCCATCCCTGTCGGATGCTCCTAGAAAGCCCAATGTTTCTTTCATTGGCTGCATTCATCACTTCCTATTACATGCATCTGGTTCCCTTCTCTGCATGCATGTAGTGAGGAAAGAAACCGTACCTCTAAGCTCATCTCTTTCCTATCACTGTCTAGCCTGGTGGCTGGCAAAGACTAACACAAATGCGTATTGAATAAATAAAGTAATAAATGAATTTCCCTCTGTCAGGCTTTTTGAAAGCTTGGTGTCCTAAATGAAACAAAAAAGCCCTAAACCAATGCAATACCCACACAAATACTAAGTGATGTGAGACTACAGTCTGCAGTGACATCAGTAACAGATCAGACGGCTACTGGCACAAATACACGCACACTGGCTTTTATGGGCAGTGACTCCCTAGTACAGCTAGTAAAGTACCCTCTTCAAGCGCTTTCTAAAGTTACTTCGAATTGTGAAACAAATTCAGGAAATGAAAATGAGCTCTCTTATTACACAAAATCTAAGAGTATCCCCTTTTGTCACAATTTCATGGATCATAAGGAAAAACCTATCTGTATAACAATCTAAGGCGTATCCTCAACATAAGTGGAACATGTATATTCTTTGTGATAACACACCGTGAAAAACGAAGGGAAAATGATTTCTCATTAAAAGCCTCTGGTTGGGGCATCTGGGTGGCTCAGTGGGTTAAAGTCTCTGCCTTTAGCTCGGGTCATGATCCTAGGGTCCTGGGATGGAGCCCCACATCGGGCTCCCTGCTCAGCGGGGAGCCTGCTTCCCCCTCTCTCTCTGCCTACCTCTCTGCCTACTTGTGATCTCTGTCTGCCAAATTAATAAATAAAATCTTTAAAAAAAAATAAAAGCCTCTGAGTTAAAAAATCTATCTAATGGGTACAGTTCTCCTTTTAACCTCACCACTACTAACGTAGTTAGGGCCCTTCCGGGGATACAATCAACCAAGCACTTTCTCTACTGTTTGTGAGCGTCTTCTGAGTATAAGCAATGAGATGTTTTAAAATATACTCTTGGAAGTGGATCATCTGGAATAATGGAAAAATGAAGCTGATTCTTAAATTCTACCAAGAAATCATCTATGTCTCCTGGCAAGCTGAGGGTCTCCATTCCATGCTCTCTGATGCAAGAAGGAGAAATGGGGCCAAACACATATCCAGGAGCAGTTTCTTTGAAGGCATTTCTCCACACGATGCGGGTACCCCTTCAGGGCTAGTCCCATTCCCTAAAAAAATCATCTGGCAAGATGCATTCATCATGTCCCCCCCAAGACAGGACAGCCAAGGCATGAGTGAGGACAGCTTCCCCACCCATTGTGGTTCCCAAGAAAGCTGTCGCCTGTCTACTTTCCACTTCAGAAAATGACACAGAAATCCATTAGTCACCAGCTTTACTCAGGATTTTCCTCCACATCAATGCATATCAGAAAACGATCCCAACTTGGAAATAATGTTGAGTTTCTCTATTTTTCTCTTCTAGAAAATGACCCAACAGGCATTCCAGACAACAGGCTCAGGAGACATACATTTTCAGAAACGCCCAAATGTTCACAGCCGTGAAAGGCTGTGGCAGAAGCAGCTAATTTCTTTGAAGGAAGAAGACACAGCACGGGTAGAAGCTGGAAGTAGTGAAGTAAGGTTGATCTTAGAAAGTACTTTGTTCCTAGACAAGCATACTCATAAGACACAACCACTTAAAGACAATGAGGGATGGCGTTCTTGTTTGTCTGTTTACACGCTGGTCAGAGACAGACTCTGGCACTGTTCTAGGCACTGTGAACTCACTCTGTAACAGTACCAACTGCTTATTATAAGGCAGGAAGTACGCTTTTTTGTGTAAAAAGCACATGTAAGCCTTATCACATTAGTACCCCTGTTTAATCAAGTAACTGACACAAAGAATTTCACCATTTAGCCCAAGGTCACACCGCCACCAAATGTGTGCTTACAATAAAACATCAGGTAAAACATTTTAGGCGTCCCAAATGCTTTAAGGCTTTAAAATCACAGTGTAGATGTTAGTTATGATCCTTTCAGCTAGGAAGACCATGACCAGAGATGAACCAGGCAGAGTATTTAAGTGATTTGGGATGCGATTTTAAGCGATTCTGAGTCTGTGGCAAATGGAGAACTGTCCAGCGACCCTGACGCTTAAAGGCAGAGCACACGGACACAAGGTTTAGTCTTCTGTTCAATGGCCAGAAGTTTCATATCTGTGAAAAAATGTATCGTGTTTCTAGAGCAGAATAAAAAAAAATACACTTGGGAAAATTAATTTAATGTATATGGGGAGGGACTAAGGAGAAACAGTGCTATTAGAGTTGATTAATCCTCCAATTACAGCACATGCTAACTCAGGGAAATTGTGGGGCTAACTACGACTTAATCACTCAAACCTGCGTGAAATGTACCACCTGAGTTAGAATGAGGGCTCCCTACTCTGACCAAAGGGTTAAACACCGGCTTAGAGCACTACTCTCCACAGCAGTCTGCTAACTCACTTCAGTCCCCTCAGAGAGCGGAGCAGGACATTTCCCAGCAACAGGAGGAAAAGCTCCATGTGCCAGAACTCCTGGCGCTCCAGGACAGTGTTTTCTAGGAGTTAGCCGCATTATTTATAGGGTTTGGCTAGCAACTGAAAACACAGTCGAAAACCATCTTGCTTTCTGGAGGAAAAATTAATGAAGTGTTTCATGCACGAGGCAAAGAGTGTGTCACAAAATATAGGAAAAAGATCCCTCAGTGGGACCCATTCTGTCGGTGTTGGGTATCTGTTGCTATGGGAGTAGACTTGCCGCCATGACACCGCACTTGCTAGTCATGGACGGAGGCTACACAGAGCTGAAATGTCTCCCTTAAGACCGCCTTCCTGTCTGTGTTTGGCTCTTGAGCTCCAGCAGCACTCCAGGCTTACCAAATCCAGTGTTAACTATTTCGTTATAATGATTTTCGTTCTATACCAGCTAAACCTCTAACCCAAAGCCAAATCAAAACAAAACCAAAACCCAAACAAACATGGGGAAAGCTATCCCAGTTGCAGTCCTGTGGGGTCACGCCTGCATCTTTGAGAACACGTCATCAGTAGGCACACCAAACAGGCCAGAAGTACTCATCATGAAAACGAGGACAAGGTTAATAGAATCATCAATTATGTCTTAATTCCAGTGCGGAAATTAAAAAGATGAGGCCTGCAGTAAGTCATGCACTGAGCCAGAACATCTCCCTAATGCAGGGCAGCTGCTTCCGTCCCCAACTCTTTTAAGATGAGTTATATCTGGGGACACTGAAGAAGCCCCAGAAACACCACAGAATTTATTTATTCCCTCTGTCTCAGCCTCCTGAACACACAGTCTTTCAGCAAATAATGGACCACTCTCCCTTTAATGAGCATTTAAATATTAAATCATGATCTCAAACTGTAACTACTCATGGAAAAAAAGAAACCAAGATTTAAAAAATAAAACAAAAAGGTGGGGTTTCTCAAAGAACAAGCTGTGTTTCCATGGCAAATACTTAGATCCAATTCGAGTGTTTCTGAGCACCTTTATTTGCAAAGGCCCCTGCTGACGGGTGTCAAACGTCTATCTCACTTCCCCAGCCAATGGGTCCAAAACCTGCACAGGGCGCCCTTCATCATTTGCAGATGTAATCCTTTTGGCACATGCTTAATCAACTGAAAGTGTACCTCTGTCTTTCTTCGTCCTTCATGAGCTTGACATTTTTGAAGAGGTCAGGAAATTAATATTGGGTAACTGTACTACGGTAATAGAACAGAGTATCTTTCTGACATAACGGCATTGTTTATAACTTCTTCTCCAGTGTTTCAGAAAAACACTTTAAAGTGATAGAGAAAGAGAGATTGATAAAAAGTTATGACTTTTATATAATATATACATATATGTATACATATGTGTGTGTACACACACACATACACACACACACACACACACACACATATAAATAACACTTGGGGGACTCCAGGTTATGGTTATGATAACATTTTAAGTCCCCAAACGTGGTAATTCTTTGCACTCTTGTACTATTTTTAAAGTCCGAAATTACTTCAAAATAAAAAGTTTAAAGAAATCTGTGTTACGTTTAGGCCCAAGACTATAATGCCTTTAATGTATAAAAGAGATTTTTAGGTGGCAAAAGGAGGAAATTCCCTAAAACTGAACTGTTACCTTTTCTATTTAAATGAGCCATTCAGAAGAGGCAGGCAAATTTTGAAAGGTAACATTCCAGGGTCTTCAAATGATAGAGAAAGTGTTTAAAATATACTTAATAAAAAAAAAAAAGTAATATACTTACGGTCCAACCCAGGATGGCTGATTGTCATTAATGAGATGGATTTTGTTAGTGGAGAGGAAATGGCTGATGTACAGTAATTGAATCCCTGTTGTTTAGCTCTGTGACATGCCTGTGAAGTAAAGCGAAACAAAACAAAATTGAAGAACAGGTTCTAAATACGGGCTCTCATTATTTCTGGAGAAGCAAAGAGCTGCACCTTCCAGCCCAGCCCAGGAACAGGAGGCAGTACACAGGAGGGTAACAGCACAGGCTCTGCAGTCAGACTCACCGGGTTCGAGTCTGCCCCCCCTACTTAGGGGCTGCTCAGCTTCAGAGGAGTTATTCAGCTTTCAGGAACCTTACTCTTCTTCTCTGTAAAATGGGAATCACGGGAGCAGCCATCCTGTACAGTGGTTTCATATCCCTCACAACACTGATGTTTTAAACTTAGTACGTGCTGGGGCGCCTGGGTGGCTCAGTGGGTTAAGCCTCTGCCTCTGGCTCAGGTCATGATCCCAGGGTCCTGGGATCAAGCCCCGCAAGGGGCTCTCTGCTCAGCAGGGGGCCTGCTCCCCGCCCCCCTCTCTGCCTGCCTCTCTGACTACTTGTGATCTCTGTCAAATAAATAAATAAAATCTTTAAAAAAAAATAAACTTAGTACGTGCCTAGTAAACATCTGCTGCATCATCAGACAAAAATAACTTCACTGGAAATATTGAACTACATACAGTAGTTCTTTTTCTTCAAAAACCTAAATATCCTTTCTAGAGATACAGTGGGATATCAGTAATATTATTTTCTGATTTTAACAAGTTGGACACAGAGCTGCAAGTGAAAAGTGTTTTAAGATCAAGAGCAAGGCAGCTGCACATCTGGGAAGAAGCCTAAATCTCTTTCATTTCCTCTTCTAAGATTAGACTACTTCCACAAGAAAAAGAGGGGGGCTGAAACCTGGCAATTTACCTCCCTCAGTAAATTCACAGCAGCTTCAAGCCCACGTAATGCAACCGACAGCAGAAGCCCCTGGAATTCTAACCCTACAGGGACAGTTCACCCCAGTGTTTGCCAGCACTCTTCCAGTGGTGGAGGGGCTCCCTCTCCTTTTGTTTTCAGAGAGCCATTTAGAATTGTTATCTAACTTTGTCATGAACCCCCTCCCTTCACAGGAAGCTTAAAACCTGCACATGCTCAAAGAGAGGTAATGAAAATGTGTTACTACCATGATTCAACTCAAGTGCGCCAAAGACTTCTGATTATTTAAAAACTTGTTCCATGTGTAACCATGGAGTCTGAGGCAAACAGTTGCTATGTTTCAAGTACAACTGTGAGGTCTGCGAAATGACGTCAGTGAAAGGCAGACAGACCTTCAGCAGGAAGCTGGCTGCAGGCAACTTGTCCAGATCAGAGATACCAGAGCTCAAATACCCACTCTGAGGTTGCACACAAGACAAAAAGTGTGGGTGAGCAGAGAGTTCCAGGAAGGCTACTAAGCACAGAAAACACGAAAATGTCATCAACTTCAGCTAGAAGACTAAATCAGAAAAGCCCTTTTAGAAAGACTTTAGTGGTAACTGACATCACTTACTAACAGATAAGTTAATTGGACAGAGATCCTCTTTCCAATTTCTACCAATATGCGTTTCAGAAAAGGTTTTACATAAACACTATTAAGAAAATTAAAATGTCCCCATTTCCTCATTAAAACTCCTTTACTTCAAAAATGTGGGAAAAAAACCAGGGAGACTAACAGCCAAGAATTCTGAGACTAATACTGTCCAGCCAGTGGCCAGTTATGAGGCCTCAGGCGAGTCGCTTCAAATGGGCGTGAAGTTCTCACACATGGGCTTATGCAGAATCTGAAGGGACATCCAGGCCCTAAGTCTAGGGTTCTGTTCACAAATCCCCAAGTTTGGTATTTTGCCCGGTCTTACAATGGACTTCCAAAGGATTCTATTCACGTGAAATGCGGTTTACTCTTCAGAGTCTCCACTTACCAAAGATGCCCTTGGCAAGTCCTGAAATAACTGTTTCCATTTTTCACTCCCTCTTTCTCTTACCATCAGGTTGAATAAATTTAAATCATTTGCCTCAATAAATATATTCTCCATGCTCTTTTAAAAAAATTTATTTTTTAAAAGGTTCATTTTTTTAATCGTCTCTACACCCCATATGGGGCTCGAACTCACAATCCCGAGATCAAGAGTCATATGCTCCGCTGACTGAGCCAGCCAGGTGTCCCTAGTCACTATCTTCTTGTTATTTTTCTTAACTTTTTCTAAAGTATCAGGCTCAGAAGACACATGTGGTGGGGAAAGGAGATAATGGGGCAAAATTCCTTTGGGCCTCCAATTTGATTTTCATCTGGCTGAAATTCTCTTGGACCTTCACATAAGTAACATACTCACTATTAAGGTAATCCTCCAGTGCCCAATTTCTCTTTGGTCATATCACTGCTATGTAGTGGGGTATAACAAAACATGAACTGAGTACATAAAACCCCAAGTCACCTATTCAAAGAACAGGCTGTTCAACACTTGGATTGGTTTAATTAGAAATGTTTCATTCTATTTCTACCTAAAACTCCAGTCACCTACACAAAGACAGGTGTTTAACTCTGTTGTCTGTGTAATTAGAAACATTTCATTTGCACATGTATCACAGAATCCTCCTAGAAATCAACTGAGAGTCCCCTTGGCCCAAGAGGAGGATAAAGGACGGGCAGCAAAAATCTGCCAAAATCTAAAACCATGTGATTCCAGTTCTCAAGGGAAACTCCCTGAGGACCTGCCCCGGGTGGTGAGTGATGGAAGGGAGGGCCTAGAGGGGACAGCACTGGGAAGGTCATCCGACTGGCTTCGAGGAAGGCCAGGCCCTCCAAGAGGGAGCTCCAGGTGAGTGCCTGTGGCAGGCAAGAAGAGGGCATCAGGATGCTCTCTGAAAAAGTCTGATGGTGACAGGAAGCAGAGAGAAAGAAACAGCCATTTCCTAGGCAGTGTGAGAAGACAAAGAATAAGATTTTTTTTCCCCCCAGGAAGGGATAGGTTTTTGAAAAATTAGTAAATTTAACAATGTTGTGTAACACACTTCAAGACTCATTTTACTATTGGGATGATAAAAGAAGTCCTCAGATAAGAAGGAAAAATTCAAATTAATATCCTGGGTACTTTACCAATTTAAAAAAAAGTCTGCTTTGACAGAATATTTAAGTCAATGCAGATTAATGGTATTCTTGAATTAGCATTAAGTGCTAAAAACTTGCCTTGCGCTAGATGAGTGTATTATAAATGCGTAAGCAATCACAGCCACGAGCCTTATAGTAAATCTTGCTTTCTTTGTTCCTAATGTGAGGACACATTTAGGGAAGTAAAGTGAGTTTTTCCAAATTAGAGGTATAAACCCACTTCAGCCTTACCTGCTGCTCAAGCATCCTGTGCTCTCTCTGGCCTGATTCCAGATCCTCTTCTGAAAGTGACATCAAAGAGTCACCCCTTTCTTCACCACCAAAAGGGTGCCTGAGCTCTTTGGTGTTTAAGGAGTTCACATCTAGAGATGAAGATGGCTTGTTTCCGACACCAGCTCCTCCTGTCAAGCCTTCTAGGCTGAAACTGAACACAGAGTGAAGGAGTTAGTTCATTCTATTTCCGAGTCTCAGGAAGGAAGGAGGATAAGAAATTGCTTCAGGGGTGTATTATTTCTATGTCATCGAGCAAAACTATTGACAAGGGCCTGGCGCAAACGAGCGCCGCCTACCTTCCCCCCACTGAGAGAGGCTGCATTTAGATTTTCTTTCCTCATTCAACCTGCTCAAACGGTGACCATCTAAGGTCATTTTCTCCAGATTTTTTTCAATATACCATCTGGACAGACCATATTATCTTACTGAACTTTCATTTATGTGTGGGTTTTTCCTTGATCTGATGTAATTCATCTTTGCAAAAATCTAACGCAGCTAATACCAAAGAGTTAAATGGCACAGAGAAAACCGGCGCCTCAGTCCCTCTCAGAAGCTGAATGGGGACACCCAGACTTGCCCTTGTGTCAGTTACGTGGACCATTACAACTTTACCTTCAACTACAGGCTAGCTGACCTTTACTAGTTCAGTGTGTGCCCACCCGAGAGACCCGAGTGGTCTTACGAGGAGCATCATTTGTGCACATCTGGCCGGTCAACCACTAAATACTGGACAGGCTTCCTGAGAACTGTGAGTTGCAGACAGGTGCATGGGCCACCTTAAGAAACGAATGGTAAAAAGCTGCTAAGTCTAAGAGTTTTAATTTAATTTTTTGGTTTTGATACTGACCCCAAAAGGGGGCAAATTTAGGGCCTGTGATCCCTGGAATAATGATGTTGTGGTCGGCAGAGTGAAGAAAGCATGTGTTTTGTGAGCAGGAGACCAGAGACAGCAGTCAGCCGAGTATCTACCTTGCTGCGGGGCTGCTAGCCAGGATAACCCACACCTGCTACATTCGCAGTGGGAACTGCTTTCCAATAAGCAAGAGAGCAAAACAGAGCTGGAGCCGACCACGTCCTCAGTTACAAGCAGGTGGAAATGCATTTGAAGGTCTATGGACGCTATTCAGCTATCTGTGCTCAAACTCTACAGTTAATTCTACAAATAATTCATGAACGCCAATCCAGAGCGCTTGCGATTTGCTTTTTATATTTCATAAAATTACTTATTATGAACTGAAACCATATGCTTCTATTTTTCTCTAGTGGGTCACTTAAACAATAGATTTTGTTTTTCTTATTTCAATATGACAATAGAAGTCATGATTAAGTACAAGTAAATGTGTCTCTGTGAAACTCATTAGCAGTCCCAGGGATAAGGAGACACGCTAAATGAAGAAGAAATTTAGTTTTCTATTGTGAATTGTTTGTAAAGCCTGAGAAACCAGCCTATCATTACCCACAAAACTTAATCCTGAAAATGTTTTAGTAATTAATCTGTCTGCTTAGTTGAGAGAATATGAAACAGTGAGGAATCTGTGAATTTGGAACCTAAAGAGAGGGGGGATTTGGAAACACAACAGAAGTAAGTGCGCTTATTGGCTGCCTTGCTTCTGTCATGGTTTTTGTCAGGATATGGGAATCCCCAGGTTCTGGGAATCAGGACAGAGCAAAAACGAAGAGAGAAGTGGTCTACCATACCAGATACAAGTCTGTGCAGAAAACACCAAATCTACAGCCACTGGAGATAAGCAGGATGCATCAGGGTACGCCATCTACCTCCTAGTCTGTGCCCCTTCAAATGGATTAGTGATGCCCATAGCAGAGGCAACTCAACACCGTGCTCACAGGCAAAGCGGGCTGTCATATGCATTGTAGCCACACAGAAGCAAGCTCCCAGCCAAAAGCCCAGGTGCCATGTTTTGGGACTCCCCCTTTGGTGGCTGGACATGGAACGATACCATACCTTCTGTAATTAAAGTCAGCACTCAGGGCAGCAGAGTAGTGCACACCAGAGGGACACCAGCTCATACTGGGGAGGACATCAAAGGCAGAAACAGAAATGGAGGGAGAAAAGAGGAAACAGGGACAGGGTTATTGGGTTTGAAAAGAAAAGCCATAGTTACAGACAGATGGATTTATCTGATCATCAAAAAATAAGGAAGGTAACATTTAGAATTCAGAAGAAGGCTAGATAGAGCAAAAACCACAGAAACTTAAAACTGCCCTACTAACACCCATCTAGACCATGTGCTGGACATGTCTCTGTCAGTTCGTTACAGGGTAACAACTTTGAACAAAGAACCCACTCTACCCGTAGCACCCCCTCCACAGGTCAGGGGTGTCCCCACCACCGGAGACCATCTCTCTGTGCGCTCCAACATGCCACTCTCAGACCTCAGTGGCTACGGTGAGAATCCTTGACTACACTAAAGTGCCCCTTGACTAAAATGGACAATGACAGATTGCAATGGGGTAGGCTCACTGGGTCATCGGTTTTCTTCTCGTTTCCAGTAAGGGTCCGTCTAAGCCAGATGGCTCAGGAGTCTTTCCTCAAAAGGGTACCTTATCAACACTCACAGCCGTCTTTAAACCCTACTCACTAAGCTCTTGGGATGAAGATTCACCACATCACAATGGTCACATTTCCTTGTATTTTAATGATAATGAAGGCATGTATGTTATTCAAAAGAAAAGGAATTCTATGGAACAGAGTTAGAAATGTGTCTTAATTTTAGGTTTGCATCCATTTCCCCCCACAAGATTAAAAAAAACAAAATAAAATACTCCGTTTGATCATCTACTTTATCTTGGCACTGCTATTTACTCTCAAGTGGGAGGGACAGAAAATCTAGGGCTGGAAATACCATGTAAATATAACCAGCTAAAAAAATTACCAATTCAAAACTTCAGGTACTCTGTAAAGGGAACTGCCTCCATAGGTCAGGATTTTTGACTGACAAATCAAAAATCAGTTTAAAAATACACTGCTACTATTTGGGGCCTTAAAACTCTTAAGTGATGTGTTTTTGTTTTCAGAAGGAGGAAGGACAGTAACACCCCCTCAAGTCTCTCTGGAATCCTGCAAATGGGACGATGTACAGACCCCAAACCACTCGAATACCTTGAATATATTTAGTAACTTTGTTTTGATAAGTGGGGGTTTTCTGGCAGAGGAAAAGACACAAGGAAGGTGGTGAGAAAATAAAGAGAAGAACTACCCCTATGAGCCTTCTAAAAGTAAATCTTTAAAAATCATAGCACTTAAAAATAATTTAAATAGTAAAACACTTAAAATCAGGTTAAATTAATAAATAGCACAAAGCTCAAGGGCAGAAGCAGAAAGGAAAAATTAGCATTTAAGACACATTTCCAGTCTGATAAGCAAAATCAGACTGACTTGTAATTTGCTTGTGTGGAGTAAGCAAGTCTTGATATAATTTTAAAACACACACGAGACTAAGAAGGCCATTCTCTGAAATTATTCACTTCATTTTGAATCTCTAAACCGTAATAAAATTTTTAAAGATATCCAACTTATTCAAAACACAACATGGTAAATCAGGAACTGAACATACATTACCAAATTATCATTAAAAAAAAAAAAAACTCTCCTACAGATTTAAACATCCCTTTACTCTCAGAAAACGATAACGATGTGCGAGAACAGGGTGACATTTAGGATGAAGAGAATGGAGAGCGACAGGGAGACAGGAGGAGGACATGACGGGGGTCCTAAGGCTGCAGGAAGGAAGCTGCAGACCCGCCCTTCCTTCTAGCAGAGAACTCCTATCACGAGAGTGTTTAAGAGAGCATCCTCCAATCTCCTTAATTCCTCTATTACTGGGGGCAACATTTAAAGGTTCTCTGGCCTCATTTTGAGATTTAGAAAATACCAGATTCTTAAAACAAACACACACACACACACACAACAAACAACCCACAAATATCCTGCTCTCCACCTTTTAACAATTGTGGGAATGTTCCAGTTTTACTAGCTAAGCTTCATACAGAATTTTAAATTATACTTCACATTCTTCCTGCATTAAAATGACGAAGGGTTGGGGCGCCTGGGGGGCTCAGTGGTTAAGGCCTCTGCCTTCGGCTCAGGTCATGATTCCAGGGTCCTGGGATCGAGCCTCACATCGGGCTCTCTGCTCAGCGGGGAGCCTGCCTCCTCCTCCTCTCTCTTTCTGCCTGCCTCTCTGCCTACTTGTGATCTGTCTGTCAAATAAATAAAAATCTTTAAAAATAAAATAAAATAAAATGACTAAGGGTGAAGTGGAGTCTGCTGCTGTTGTGAAGCTCTGTGTGCTCAGTGGGACGGCATCCAGCAACCCGCCACCTTCCACTGTCAACGAGTGCAGGCTTCTAGTACGTTCCTAGTGAAGAGCCTGACGGGAGAGGCAACTAGATCTCTCAAGGGTTCAAGGCTTCTACTGAAAAGGGATTTAACGACTTGTTCCCCTGGGAGAACAACCCAACCGAGTTACGATCACCTGAGATTCACGGGGTATTTGTATTTGAATTCAATTCTGCGCCTGAAATCTGGGATTCGAGGAGGAACCCACTGGAAAAAGACGAAACGGGGAGGACCACTACCTGCCAGCTTCCCAAGGAAGAGCTTCGGCTCAGAATTGAAAACATCGCTTTACAGATGTCTCCCAATATGAGAGGCTATGTGTAACTCCACTGTCGTTTTGGGATTTCTGAATTCCGCCCCCCAAATAATGAAAGGAAAGGTCATTAGTGGCGATTTCTGAACACAGTAAAACTCAGCATCTGAAAAGCAAATCGGCATTTTTGGAGTAGAAATGACTTTGCAGTTCATAAGTTACTAATTGTTAGCTTTAAAATGTTACCTGACAAAAAATAATTAAGGAATTACTGGGAGATAAGCTGATGACTCTTACTTCTTTTCAGAAATGACTACATCAACAATGGAGTAGAGATGATCAGGGGGCCCAGAATGTGTTGAAAATGTGTTAGGGCCTGTGTGTCAGCTCACAATTCTTTCCAGTTCTTCCCCCTTTTTGGGGGGTGGGAAGGGGAAGAAAAAGCACTCCCCAGAGTCCACTAGTCAGGCACAATCAACGTGTCTGAATTCTCCTAGGGACAGTTGGGGAGCCCCTATTATCAAAGTGACCTGAACATCAGTAAGTACAAGATGGAAAAAACACTAACAAAAGTTTCCTTTAAAGATAAAAATAGAATAGGAAAAAATTTCACTCACAAAACCATTTCATATGCAAATGGACATCAGCAATTAATAAATACCTCTACTTTATTTGCCTGAAGCAGACGTGACTTTATTGTAAAAGATGGTTTTAATCATGGATCAAGCAAAATGAGATGCTTGTTAGTAGAAGCTCAGAGGCAACACAGTTAGTCCATCAAGTTAGTGAACTCTGTACCTTCTCCTATGAATGGGAGGTCTCCTGACAACATCCCCCAGAACTCGCAATGAACTGAAAATGAATGGTGGAAGAGGTCAGTGTTGAGGTGAAACAAATGGACACAAACGCATGAAGCACACAGACATCACAGGCTTGGGGGAGACACAAGCCACTCAGAGAAACAGTACAGGAAGGCAGGGGACGAGAGAGTGTGGAGGAGGAGACAAACCACAAAGGCCTGACGGCCTGACAATTTCTGGGGAGGGTTACTCTGCTTCCTCCTTGTTCCAAAGAGTTAATCAGATGACAGAGGTTTATTAAATTATAAAAGGATTAAAAAAAGGCCATCTAAAGCGTTCAAAGGATTTTCTTAAGACTTTAAAATTCAGGTCATATAATATGCAGACAAGGCTATAAGCATCAAACTCATTCAAGTCCTTCCCTCATCTCCAGAGGCACTGGGGCGGTGGTGCAAGGGGACTACCAAGGCTAGGCTCACATGGGAGCGGCCAAGATATTACACGGGCTGCACACAGGAGTAATTAGGTGATAGGGCTCTAGTCTTCGCTTGGTCTTAAGAGCACCATGTAATCTGGGACAAATCACTCAGTCTGAGCTTTAATTTCCTCATCTGAGCTACAGGAGCCACAGTCAAGCCAGCTCTGAAATCAAAGTCACGGCAAAAGAACCCATAGCGGGTTATAAAGAAAAGGGGATTGTGTTTAGAACAAACCCCCATTTCTGGATGCCGTTAGCATCCTGACAGTATGTCAAGAGACTGCTTTTGCTTCAGGAAGGGAATTCTGGCTATAGGGATCATTCCCCACATCCTGGCTTATTTTTTTTAACTGGTGTGAATGCTTTTTTAAAATATAGTGTGAATAAAGCTGGGAAGGAAAGCTTTTAGAAATGGCTTTTTATACAATCCATGCTTTCAAATGTACATAAAAACTACCCAGCAGAAAAAGCAACTGCTGATTTTTCAGGGCAGCTCCTGAACTCTATCAGAGAATAATATGGAATCACAGAAAGAGCACTTAACTAGGAGACGAGGAACCTAGTTACTGGTAAGTGGTATCAACCACCTACACCTGTCTCATCTGTGAACCTGCAGACAATGCCACCTGACTTGGGGAGAGGACTGGAAAATCACAGGGACAGTCTGTTGTGAAACAAGTCTGAGAAGAGTAGCACATGAGCCAAGTGTAAGGCATCGCTGTGAGCTCCACGAAGGCAGGGACTGTGGCTCATTCACCTGTGTCCCCAGAACCTAGAAATGCCCTGCACGGGGCCGGCGTTCAGTATGTGTTGGTGGGATAAAAGAATAAGCGAGGGGGCAAGTGCCCTCAGAGTCTACCTACAGCTCTGAAATCGGAGCGACGTTATGAGGAGGCAGGTCAGCGAATTAAAAAAGAGAAAAAGCCATAACCGCTCCAGGTGAGTTTGTCACATCACCTGTGTTCACACCATCAGCCTGCTCCCTTGGCTGCCTTTCTTCAGCTGGAAAGTAGCTGGGGTGGAAGCACAACTTGGTACGTATAGCAGGCATCACGGCACTTGGTCGTTAGACTGAAAGCCGTCTGCTTAAATTCCTGAAAGCAGCCTATGGTCAGAGGCCGACTCCAAACTACCTCCTGCCAGCCTGCTTCCGCATGGAAGGTCTGACACGGGGTCAACATACGCACGCCCCCGAGGACTGGAGGGTACATGGAGAAATACCAACCATCCAATGATACCGAATGATTCGTAAGCTCGCTTACTGATTAAATAATCATTCAGACTCCGTCCAAACATTCTGCATTAAGAAATGGACCGCAATTTCTGGGAAGCACTTTGAAAACAGATGGTGTAGGGGCACCTGGATGGCTCAGTGGGTTAAAGCCTCTGCCGTCAGCTCAGGTCATGATCTCGGGGTCCTAGGATCGAGCCCCGCATCGGGCTCTCTGCTCAGCGGGGAGCGTGCTTCCCTTCCTCTCTCTGCCTGCTTCTCTGCCTACTTGTGATCTCTATCAAATAAATAAATAAAATCTTAAAAAAAAAAAAAGAAAACAGATGGTGTTGAGGCTGAGACCTCATGTTTGCTTTTTAATTCAAAGTCAACAGGACACTATTCCCTTCCACAAGTTTTTAATCTATAAATGTTATTAACAGATCTGGCCTGAATGACTGTTAGCATTTATTAAACACTCGCCACGTAACAGGCCTATTTCACTTGCAATACTTATTCTTGCAAATACTCTTGCAAATACTTACAGATGAGAAAATTAAAGCTCAGAGGGGTCAAGTAACTTGCCCAAGTTTATCTATATAGTGAGTTACCGAGCTGGGGTCTGAACCCAGGTTCTCCTGACTCCAAAGCCCATCTGCTTTCTTCCGTACCATGGTGTCTAAGTTCTTTTACCACGACAACACAAAATCACAGAATCAAACGCAAGCGGACATCGAGAAACGAAACCAACAGCCCTGCCGGGTCCACCTCACCTGCGCTGGTTCATTTCTGCATCGCTGGCCGCGTTCTTCCCAGGACCCCAGCTGTGCCTCCGGAAAGGGGACAGGGAGCGCATGGAGCTCCTCAGCACAGAGCCGTTCGAGGGCACCTCGGTGATGCTGTCCATTTCCTCCTCCTCCATCTCACCTGAGCCGGCAGCTTCGCCCTCGCTCTCTCGACCCTCAGCTCCCACGCCATGGCTGTAGAAGCCGTCAAGACCCTGCTGATCTCTGGACCTGTTCAAATTTGAAATCTGGGGGAGGGACACATCACTGCCGTGAGAAGAATGTCGATCCAGGGAAGCGGTGTCGTCGGTGGACGAACTGGATCCGGTGATGTCACAGACCAGCGGCTCTTCCTCTGGCTGTCAAAGAGAGAAAACACCCACAGTTGGAAAGGGCACGGCCTCCTTACTGCCGACCCCGCAGTGGCTTCACAGCGGCTGCAGAGTGGGCAGGATGGGCAAGATCACAGTTGGCATCAAACAGGTGTTTTCTTTTTGAAAGCACAGTCCCAGTCGGATTTAGAGAGTTCCCGATGAAGGGTGGTCGAGGTCTGTACTCTCTCCACCCTCTTACTGGAGGTAGGTACACAGATCATTCCTTTTTTTTTTTTTCTTTAAGATTTATTTATTTATTCGACAGAGATCACAAGTAGGCAGAGAGGCAGGCAGAGAGAGAGGAGGAAGCAGGCTCCCTGATGAGCAGAGAGCCTGATGCGGGGCTCGATCCCAGGATCCTGGGATCATGACCTGAGCTGAAGGCAGAGGCTTTTAACCTACTGAGCCACCCAGGTGCCTCCAGACCATTCCTTTCTTACAGGGGAAAAACATCTAACCCGGGTTCAGGTCAGTTCCACAGGCCAATACCACCAACTGAAACAAAGAGAACCCTTATGTATCCGGGGCTTCTGTATGAAAACTCTAAATCCATATACTATTAGGTTTAATTCCCTCCCCAAGCTTTAACTAAAAACAAGGTTGTCTGTTTGGCTGCCATAATGTCAACCTGAAGTTAATATTCCCGAAGGAAGTCTGTAACTGTTTTAAGAGGCCCTTTGAAAACCACAGAATAGCTTATGACCCTACCTAAAATCTGCCACAAATGCCCACATTCTGGCCTTAAATGCCTACCTGGAAGAAATCTATTCCTTTTCTCATTTCACTAGGGACTGGCCGTGTCATCGAGCCAAATTACATATAAAATAATCAGTCCTGGCAATGGAGTCTTGAGCACGTGATAAGGTTCTTTTCTTGGCTAGTGTCAGGGGGTTAATAGTCCAGTTCTGATTCCCAGTAGCCCAACGTTCTGTTTGCTACATACACCAGAGCACAGAGTGTGACAGGTGAGGGAAAGATAAGCATCCTGAGACTCGAAGGATGAATTTATCCAGAAGTAAGTACAAACATCTAGAAGATGCATGATTATGCTCTCAGATCTGGGCACTGAACTGTCTTAACATCTTTATTTTATTGTGTTCTTCCAGGAAAGGGAGAAGGGACTAGGGAAAGGCATTCTGTGGTTTATTTTTCCTCCTTCACAGTACTTTCCTAATTAGCCAGTCTACTCAAAGTTTTAATTAAGAGTGAAGAAACTTACAGTTCTTTGAGAAAGATTTTAAAAATTATGAGAACTAATGAGCCTTTGGGCTTTTGAACAGAAAGTAAGACCTATTCTCTAGAAGGAGAGTATTTTCAAATGTTTACATTAACACTTCAAAATCATTCTCTACAACTTTTGGGCTGAATCTCTTCCAGCTTATAGGAGTTTTTTTCTACTCTGTGGCAGCTGGTTTCCTCAGCTAATTACTCTTGAAATGATGTGTGACGGATGAGATGAAAAGGGAGATGTGGGGGTCATCGGGACCCAGACTGACTCTCAGGCCCTCCTCGTACACAGGCACTGAGCAGGGACCAAGACGTGAACTCAGGCTGATTCCAACTAAAACTGCCCTGCTCTGTTCCCATCATCTTTAAAAAACCCTGCAGGGAAAAAAAAAATTAATAAAATAAAATAAAAAACCCTGCAGGGGTGGGGCAGGCACCTGGGTGGCTCAGTCGGTTAAGCATCTGCCTTCGGGCCATAGGCACCCCAATGTTCATAGCAGCAATGTCCACAACAGCCAAACTGTGGAATGAGCCGAGATGCCCTTCAACAGACGAATGGATAAAGAAGATGTGGTCCATTTACACAATGGAATATTACTCAGCCATCAGAAAGGATGAATACCCAACTTTTGCATCAACATGACGGGACTGGAGGAGATTATGCTGAGTGAAATAAGTCAAGCAGAGAGAGTCAATTATCATATGGTTTCACTTACATGTGGAACATAAGGACTAGCATGGAGGACATTAGGAGAAGGAAGGGAAAAATGAAGGAGGGTGGAAATCGGAGGGACAGACAAACCATGAGAGACTATGGACTCCGAGAAACAAGCTGAGGGTTTTAGGTGGGACGGAGTGGGAAACTGGGTTGGCCCAGTGATAGGTAATAAGGACGGCACAGACTGCATGGAGCACTGGGTGTTATGTGTAAACAATGACCCTTGGAACACTACATCAAAAACTAATGATGTACTGTATGGTGACTAACATAACACAGTAAAAAATAATTATTTAAAAAAAAGGGGGGGCGCCTGGGTAGCTCAGTGGGTTAATCTCAGGTTGTGATCCCAGGGTTCTGGGATCAAGCCCCACATAGGACTCTCTGCTCAGTGGGGAGCCTGCTTCCCTCCTCTCTGCCTGCCTCTCTGCCTACCTGTGATCTCTGTCAAATAAATAAATGAAATCTTATTTAAAAAAAAAAAAAAAAAAGCATCTGCCATTCGGCTCAGGTCATGATGCCGGCCAGGATCCTGGGATCAAGCTGAGCCCCATGTCATCAGGCTCCTTGCTCATCAGGGAGTCTGCTTCGCCCTCGTCCTCAGCCCCTCCCCTCTCGTGCTCTTGCTCCCCCCACCCCCTTTAAATGAATACTTTAAAAAAAAACTCTTCAAAAAAAGCCTCTGCAAGGACAAGATCTCGAAGCCCTGTGTTCCCTACACTGGGCCACACTGTAAAATTAAATGATGCTTTAACCAAGTAGACTGTAAAATCGGGTAGGTAATATTTTAAAATAAACTCAACTGTTCTCTTTAAGTTACCGAGGGTTAACCTGCACGTCTTAAAGCGTTCAATCATGGAGCTGCTCTCCAGAGAGAGGAACAATGTAGACAGTCACAAATACTGACTTTAGGATGTCTTGGCTTTCTCAGTGTGTCCTCCCCTCAAATGTAATTTGTTAAGATTAGATCATACAACACAGGAGCTGTGTCCTTGCGTGAAGAGGAGAGACATGGGGAGAGACATAGGGAGGTAGAGCTTGAGTCCACGGAGTGCTGGTCAGCAGCAGAGGCTGCGACAAGAGCCGGGGAGAGATTCTCCCTCAGAGCCTCCCGAGGAAAAGCTGCCGCCCCTCTGGTACATGGACTGTAGGCCCTCCTGTCTCCCAAACCGTGAAAGAATACATTTTTGTTGTTTCATGCCACCAAATTTGTGGTAATTGGTGATAGCAGTCCTAGGAAACTATATACTCACCCTCGAGCTGCTTTGTTTTTAATTCTCAGAAGAGTACCAAGGGACAAACAGAAGGGCCACGTAAAGCAAAATGCATGATGGGCTTATTGTCAAACACACAAGCTAGGCTTTGAAGGAAATGAAAATGAGTTCAAGTTTCCATTTGGCCATTTATCATATATTCTCACAAGCTGGGGCTTCCCGATGAGGAAATGATGTGCGGACGACAGAACAGGTCCTTCCTCTTGATTTGGCACCTAATGGCCTTGCAGGGGCACCGCCTTGAAAGACCACCTGTTATCTCTGTGGTACTTTACTCACCCGGGACTTAACAAACAAGCATCCACCCTTTTGTAAGACATTAAAACAAGATGGGAAAATTATTGTTGGCCTGTTTGTACACATTTTAAGGAAGAAATCTGTCTGGCACAGATCTGCGACACGGTGTTGATCCTGGTGTGTGCTAGGACACCTCCTAGTGTTCAACAATTATGAGCCTGTAGTTATTACTTGGAAAAGGGAAAACCAGGACAAACTCAATAATTGAGGTCAGTCTTCATTCCTAAATATTGGAGGTGAATGGTTTTTCTTTAATGCCGGATTGAATCTAAAGAAGGCTCTGAATTACTTTTGCCCAAGACTTATGTGTTCTCAAAAGAATTTCCCAGCTTCATGATGTCTTTATGCTACCCTGGCAGAACAGAAAGTAGTCAGGGGTGTAATAAAAAATTAAACCCAGAATATGGTCTCAGTCTTTGTGCTGCTACGCATTGGTCTATGGATGAGCCACTTTCTCAATGTGTCTACCTAAGATGATGATCTTTCCATCGGAAGAGGCCAGACCTTAATATCAGGCAAGGTACTGTCTATTTTCATCATGAACAGAGGGAACAAGTGGGTTTTTTAAGCGTCTGATTTTTTTATTCCCTTCCGGTCTCTGAACTAATTAACTTATTAATAATAAGTTCTTATGGATATCTGCCAAATAAAGAGATACAAGAAGCAATATTTTCACCATTGTCCCCTCCCCCCCACAGAAAGTAGCAGGTTTGGGGATGTTGTTTTTCCATTTATAAACCAGAAGGGGAAAAATTATGGCTTCTGTCACATAACAGAATGTTCCATGCCTAATATTTGAAGCCATTCTTAAACAGTTTTTGAATTATATATTGGGTCTTTCTTTGGAGAAGTCTTTTCTCTTAAAATGTCTGCTAATTGGGGCATCTGGGTGGCTCAGTGGGTTAAAGCCTCTGCCTTCAGTTCAGGTCATGATCCCGGGGTCCTGGAATAGAGCCCTGTGTTGGGCTCCCTGCTCAGCAGGGAGTATGCATCTCTCCTTCTCTCTCTGCCTGCTTCTCTGCCTACCTGTGATCTCTGTCAAATAAATAAATAAAATCTTAAAAAAAAGTCTGCTAATTAAATGACTTTCAGAGACTTGTATTAGTCCTGATTGTCTGCAGAAAAGGTGCCAATGTAGTTTTTCTTCCCTTAAAGGCAGATGGCCAATATAATTCTCTGCTAAATACAAGTTTTTTTTATTTTTTGTTTCCCGTAAGATGCAGTACTGGGAGTGGGTTAGGACGGAGAAGGAAGAGAGACGCAGAAAGGTAGACACAGGAGAGGAGGGGTGGCTGGGAGCTGTGCTTGTTTGTGCCAAAGTGAGTGCACTGGAAGGAAGACAACTGAGTCTAGAGCTGAGACTGACACATGAGCCCTTCCTTCCACGAGCTGTCCTGAATGGTTTTCCTCCTGCATATGGGAGGATGGAAACACACACAAAAACTATCGTGGCTACCAACAGCTTCTTT